GTCGACCTCCTTTTTCTTTAACCCCGTACCTTTCCTCCTCCCGTGATATATCATGCGACGGCGAATGCATTTTGACGACGCGTCCTTAACCCTTTAACCGGGCACACAGTCCCACGAGTCTGGAATCTCTCGTAAAAATCTCAATTACATCGTGCTGGTCGTGAAATCTGCACCGATCGGGATGCAGAGCCTCTAGCGGCGCGGACGATAAGACTGGCGACTCTTCAGTTCCTACATATACGCTACTCAACTGTCCATTGAATGTCGTGGCGATACCTCTTGTATTCACCACCAGAGGGCCACGCTCTCAACTCTCTCGCAAGCGCTCCACCGACCCGTCAGTTCCTACATATACGCTACTCGACTGTCCATTGAATGTTGTGGCGATACCTCCTGTATTCGCCGCTAGAGGGCCACGATCTTGTCTATCTCGCAAGCGCTCGAGCAACCCTTTCGTTTCTATATATAACGCTTCTGGAGTGATATGCCCAGTAGCAGGCGACCAAAAAAGGCTCCTTTCTCCTTTCCTTTCCTTATTTCCTGCTGTCTCGTTTGCCATTCTTCCATCTAGAGGGCGCGCGCCCCAAGACGCGAAAGAGTAGGCAAAAATGATATAACCTCGTACGCGTTCGCGTCGCGGGACGAGTCTCGGATAACGCGTCCCTTAAGGGAGGAATATAAAATGCATCCTATCGGGGTCGCGGAGTTTTTACGAGGCGCCTTTCGAGAGAGAAAGATACCCTATAACCTCCTATCGAATTTTGCGCTGATTTCAATCTGAGCGCCGCGAATGTAACGGAGCACGGCAAAAACCAATGAAGATCGAACCGGGACGATAAGTCGCCCGAGCGCTTCGAGAGGACCGTTTAAACTTTCCGCGCTCCTTTTCTTACGCGGTGGCTCTGGGGCTTGGTCATCGTTCCTCCTCCCCCCCGGACTTCCCCCCGACCGCCTAGCGACCGTTTCGCGTCGAATCGACGTTTGAAATATGCTATCGTAACTTAGGCACGACCTTCGGACTGCGCTTCCCTCGCCCGGCAACCTCGATTGCACGCATTTATGCGAAAAAGGGGAATCGGGTGTCCGCGACGTCTCTCGAAATTTATAGAACTTTCGTTTCTTTGCCCGACGGGGAAAAATATCCTCTGATAAAAAGAAATGTAAATTTCTGTGTACGGGGATGATATCTAGTTTCGAAAATGAATATATACGGTCTCATATACAAGCATCTACTTTGGAAGACGGATATACGGTATACGGTCTACTTCGAAGAACGAAAGTATACGACTTTCAAAAATGTAAATGCCTCGTTAGCTGTAAGGCGTCTGCTCCCGGATAACTTTTCGAGATCGTGGGTTGGCCGGACGCAGAAAAATCTCGCGTTAGCGGCTCGCGAACTTCGTGTTAGCGAATCACCGTCCGGATCAACGCGATAGGGCGTCCAGGGTCCCGGGTAGTTCGTCGATAGTCGCTGGAACACGTCGTCGCGGAGACAAGTTTTTATCGGTCGGCCCCGCGCCGCTCGAACTTCGTTGGGACCCCCCGTCGTCTTACGTAGCAGAACTTCATAAGCGACAGAGAACGAGCCCGGAAGTTTGCTAACGGGCTGACTCAGACGGTTCCCCCCCCCAACCCGCCGTCGACAAGAGGAAATTCGCGGTAATACGCAACGATTCTGCTGAGGAGTCGTAAAAATGTCCGCTCGAGATTTCGTCAAACAGGTCCTCCAGGAAACGAGCTTCCGCCAGCAACGGTTCGCGAGCCCGAAACCACGGTGGCTAAATCGGAACAGTATTTTATACTTTTCTTGCACCGTTTATAAACTTGTCGCAACCTGAAATATCACTTTGCACGACCACCCCAGGGAAAAATTTTAATGGCGGATTCTGGAGGCCAAAATAAGACGAAAATCAAGAATACCAATTTGTTGATGGAGGCTTTGTTAAAAAGTTATTAACATTTTAAGTTCCGGCTGTGAGACGGCCACCGTGCACGCTGCACACTTTAACTTTGAACGTTAATAATTTTTTAACGAAGCCTCCATCAACAAATTGGTATTCTTGATTTTCGTCTTATTTTGGCCTCTAGAATCCCCCATTAAAATTTTTCCTACGGTTGTCGAACACCCTGTGTATACGAAATTGCTATATGGATGACTGTTTCCCTAAGACGTATATATTCGTCACTGTAAAGGGGTTAATACAGCAACAATGCTGTCTTGGTAAAATTGAATTAAAAAATGTTTCTCAATAAGAGAAACGTTTCTGAAATACTGTCGACTCGACCAGTAAGTTTATTCCTTTGTTTCGCTGCGACGATAAACCACGGTTCGACGGGAATCTCGGGGACTCTGGTTGCCGTAGAGCCATCGATTCAGGTGTTCTTAAACGAACACAGAGTCTGGCTAATTATAAAGTTAAATTAAATATTGATATGCAAGGATTCAACTTCCTCCGCGAAATAGGTTGTGTCCCGTGGAATTTTGCACGAGCTTCTCAGATATGCGATCACTGATTACCACCGCATTTGTAAACAGAGAATATTTAAATGAAGCGGAGGAGAAGTTCCCGGAGTAATTAGAAAGAAAGTTACAGTATAATAACTACTGGAATCCTGTCGCTTCTGTAAACATTATTCAACGCGGAACTGGGACGTAACTTCGACGGTTAATTTAAATTTTAATACGCTTCGATTACGTGGACATTGATCCACGGATGTTCGTGCGAAATCTCGTTACGTAGTCGGGTACGTGTGTATTTTGTACGAGGTTGGCGAACAAAATATCAATTATTCGAAATTATTTTATCTCGAGCTTCACCGATCGATCGAACAGACTAGAAAAGAAAATGCGAAACACTCATTCTGTTTCCGGCAAGATATAACTGTATCCTAACCTCAAGTACAATTGCCCGTAAATATAAATGCAGTTAACTTCAAACGTGTGCTTAAATTCAAGTACAACGACACTTAACCTCAAACACAACCATATTCACCGCGGCGACTGTATTTAACCTCAAACGTAATTATGCTGGACGTCAAATACAAATAGAATTAGCCCCAAATATAAGCACGCTCAACCCGAAATCTGGTTATATTTACTCGACATAACCTCAAATGTGACGCGCGGTTGTTTCGTTGGCGCGAACACGAAAGACCGTTTCGATGAACGGATCGGGACAGTCGGTAAGGCCGCGTCGGGCAGCAACAGTTGACTCATAATTCGCGGATCCGCTCCAATTTTACTCCACCGTCGTATTTCTGTAGAGGGTCCTGTTCTAACAAGTTGACTCAGCCAACCTTGCCCGCCTCATCGCCTGAGAAATCTCGTATTAGAACACCGCGCCTAAAATCGTTCCCGTCGGTGCAACGACCAAAGTGCATGCCGTGTCACGGAGAAGTTTACGCGGCGTTCACATGACCGCGCCGCGGTCGCCGCCATCGCCGTCGTTGGCGCGGCGATCGATAAATATGATCGTAGGAGAATGCCGTGGCGCAATGGCTGCTTTCCCGTGATCGCAACGGGTCACCAGATGCAAGATTAACGTTTCTAAATCGCTCCTTTCCACGCGATCCACGGAGCCGGCGACTCTTAACGCTGCTTGTTTACCCAGCTCGTAACGTCGATTAATGGAACCACTTTTCGTCTTCTCGCGTTACGTTTCTTTCCCTGCCTCTTCGATTCAATTCCGCTCCACGGTGTTTCTTCCAACCGAAACTCGCGAACTTTGTCGTGTACGCAATGAAATATCAAGCTCGAACCGTAATTGGTAATTTGGACGGTGTTAACTCGAGAAAATGTGAAGTGGTCACTTGCTAGGAACCGACGGTAACATAATTTAAAGAATTTCAGAAGCGTATAGTGCTTTAAGTAACGAGAGCTTCCTCTTTACTGTTTTCTAACCTCAAACTTAATTGATTTTGAACTGTATCGTGGAAAACGTATCGCGTTGAATGTATTTTGTAATAGCTGGACGATCTAACCTAGAATCTTAGAATCAAACTGCACCGATCTGGGGATTCGGAAATTGTTGGTTAGACCGGGACAGACAGGGCTGTCCAGAACAGTCTCGGTCTATAACGTGGGTCAGTAATTGACCGACCGAGGCCTTTGAGACCACTGCATCTATTATACTATCCGCTGAAACAATTGCTGCTTAAAACTGCTACAGGGCAGAAGGTATTGGTCGCTCAAGGCTACCGAGCAGCTATTCCGCCACATTAATTGGCAAGTTATAGCAACGTTTAAAGCAAGACATTCCGTATATATTTATAGCTTCTTCCAAATTCTAACCTCTTTCTTACGCACCGTAACCTCTGCGACGATGCACAGGCCGCCATATTTGAGAATAAATTACACGCGCCACCTGCATGAGAACTCAAGTACTGCTCGGAAGGGAAAATCAGCTCTGATTTATTCTCAAAAGGGACGACAGAAATGGGCAAATTGTCACTCGAACGATAAATAATCGATAGATAAATCAATATATATGAGATCGAAATATAGGAACTTTTCACCGACTGTTCCAAACCATAACCATAACTCGATAATACAAAAGGTTTTAACACGTTCATAGCCAGACGAAAACCGTACAATTTTCAATTGTAAACTGCATAACCTAAAATTCGTTTCGGTACTTCCTATCCAAATTTATTTCCCTCCACGTCTAAACTCGACAATTGATTTCTCTAGTTTTAGAATGGAAAATCCTGTCACCCGTATATGGGTGACGTGAATCGAGAGGGGGCCACTGTCGCTCTTCCCGCGTACTTGAATACAAAATGGCGGACCTGCCTGTGGCATCGTCCAGCAGACTCCGATTATAGGGTCTCTAATTCTCAAAGATGAGAGTTTCTGCATGGTCGCGGAGCTTCTCTTTGGGCTTAGAAGCCCCCGCGGCGTATCCAGCGTATAGAAATCGGTGCCTCGAGCGGACAAACGCTTCCATAATCTGACCATGATCGGGGAACAAGCAGAGGGGGAGAATCGACGGCGTACTCACCGGACTCCGAGACGGATGGACTGCCTGCAGACCTGTCGGAGTTCCTGGAGCTGGCCGTGGAGCTGGTGGAAGAGGCCGTGCCGAGCGAACACTCGGAGACGCTTCGACGTTTGGAGAGGAGCGCCGCGGCGGCGGCTGCTGCCCCAGGGCCGCAGGAGGAACCGGTCGGCGCGCTCGAGCTCAAACCGTGCAACCCGTGGAGCCCATTCAGGCCCGACTGACTCGTCAGCTGCTCCAGCCGTCGCCTGAGGAACCTCTGCTCGCGGGACAGTTGTTCCTTGTGCACGGCGTGCTTCCGTTCCCGTTCCTCCAGGTTCTGAATACAAATTTTCAATTATTTTTCTCAACCACCAACAATTACAACGTGTTCATTCGTAATAAAGAGATTAAACCCGATGGATTCTTTAAGAAATGTACAGTGCAATGGGAAAAAGTGTTTGTTCATTATACCGGGTGATTCACGTGAAACAGAACACTTAATTATCTCCGTTCGACTTACAGATAGAAAAAAATATTAGAGAGAAAAGTTGTACTGTTGAAGGAAGCAAATATAGGAATATAAAAAAATCTTCCGATTGCTGTCATTTTCAAGGTCTTTTCTGGAAAAATCCAGTCGAGTGAATTTTTTACAGTTTTTATTAGAAATTAGAAATGGGTCGTTTTGACCGGTTCGGTAGTTCCAGTGTTGAAAGCAGTCGTTTAAGAGGAACGTATACCGTACGTCTCTGAAAGCAGTCGTTCACGGAAGACCTGTACGTCCCTTTTGAAAGTAGTCGCTCGCAAGAGGCGTTCTCGTAAAGACGACGGAGTCTGATGAGATCTTTTAGTGGTTGGGTTTCTGTCTCCCGGATTGCGGCGTGAGTGCTGGGCTAGCAAACGTGATCTTTCACTTTTAGCGAACGCTTGTCGTCGGGACAAAATTTCAAACTGCCGTAAAAGTTGTTATCAAATAACGGTCGCGATAGCTGGGAGGTTATGACTGACGGGATTAACGACGCGGAGGACCTTCAATCTCACCCCCGTCTCCTCAACACTTAATCCCTCAATTTTCGACCCCTTCGTCCATTACGCGAGCTCTAAAACACAGATACAGGTAATCCATTCGTCGCAAATCCCCCGCCCAAGTATTTCTTAATGCGTTTATGGGAAATTATACCGGTAGGAAATCCGTATTACTGGCGAATACGACGTTTAACCGCCCGTTGCGGTCGTTCGCCAAGTCGCGCAATTGGCTTGGCCTTTTTCTTCCTACGGGGAATTAATTCGACGGACAGATTTCCGCGGGTGCCCTCCGCGCTCGGTTTATAGGCGCAAAACTGCTGAAAAATTGCGGAATTACTGGCAAACCGCGGTTTGCTAAGCTCGCGGATTACGATGAAGCTTCGGGTAATTCGCAAAGTCTGACATGAAATTTGAATAATTTGAACCCCTCGGTGAAACACTCGTCGGCGTATAACGACCACGGAAATATGAATTTTACAACTTTCTCTTCCCGATCGCGTAACGAGCTTTCTCGAAAACTTTCGTCCCCCCTCCCCCCTGCAGGTCCGTGAACAAAAATAGGTAGTAAATCACACGGACTGGGTTGGTCGGAAAGAGGTTAAACAAGTTCGTTGGTCAATCTCAGCAAATCTTTATAGCATTATAGAGTCAATATACGCTTTACGGAACTGTTTCAGAGAACGTATATATACGTCACGGGAATAAATGATGCCATTCAGGCTACGTTTATTTATTTTTAAAACTACCAACAGCGTATATTCTTGCAGTTCTTGTAGTACGATTTGATCAAATGTCGATGATATCGATCCCCCGGCTCCTGTCAACAATTACGTAAGAGCGAACAGAGAATGTTGTCCAGCGACGAGGCTGGAGATCCGGTCGAAGTGTGGCCAGCGTCATCGGAGACCTGGGTCCAACTAGATTCAATTGAAGAAGACACGACCGTACCGTGCATCCGGAGCGATCGAGAGGCTGCACAGTAATTAAGGTGGCGGATCACGCGATCGACAATTAAGAGAATCGATCGCGATCGTCGTTATTGATTCGTGTCGCGTTCTTTTTACCAGCGTCCGTGACCCGACAAACCGAATATGCATCGCGACAGAAGTCGATTTATCAGATTCTTTGCACGAGGCGGATGGTTTTCCATTCCCTTCGAATGGATTTTCCATGTACTCGTATAACGCGCTACAATTCGATCAGACTTCATGCTTGGTTCAAAAATTTTCAAATATTCTTCTGGAGGTTAGTTCGTCGCGCGTTGCTTGATGCATATGTTAAATCAGTATTTTTACGCAAAAGACGTATGTATACGTCGCGCGAAAGTAATGTACAAAACACGTATACATACGTGTCTCGAAACAAATATTCATGGAAAGCGTATATAGACGTCTGAAAGCAATTATTTACGTATGACGTATATATACGTCGTGTGACAACAACGTACAAACGTCGTGTACATACGTGTCTCGAAACAAATATTCATGGAAAACGTATATAGACGTCCAAAAGGAATTATTTACGAACGACGTATATATACGTCGGGTGAAAACCATGTACAAAAAACGTGTAGATACGTCATGTGAAAGCAACCTGCGACAGACGCATGCATACATGTTTAAAAGCAAGTATTTACATACGACGTATATATACGTCCTGTAATGCAGTCGTTATCTACAAAAACCATAGAATAGAATGATCCGTAATGCGCCGTAGAATAATAGCTTTGTGTTTGGTTAAACAAACGTGGGAATATTATTGCTTTAGAACGTTTGTCCAATTAAATTAAAATGAAAATTCAACGAATAGTTTTCACGTTTTATGGACGCCGCAGAAATCCATTCTTCGTTTCGCAATTCAGCGACGACGAACGTCGGAAGAAACGGTCGTCCAATTCCGGGCGTTGAAGGCCAAAGCGCGAAATAACGAAGCGTCACCGATTACACGGTTGCAATTAGAGGGCTTCCGATTGCGTCATCGGCGCGCTAAGAAGCGGCGAGCGCTGTTTCTTTCTTCGCCGCGTAATCGACGCTTGGCTATGCCCGCCGGGGGTGGCTGAATTTACTTCAAACAGAATTAACGCCGGCTACCTGCATCTGCCGCCATGCACGGAATCGTACGTATGCTCGCGGCGAGAATCCGATTAAACGTTTCAAGATGGAATCTTTCGTTTGGGAGGATGAAATCGATTTAACGGGAATTCCGGGAATCCCAGACAGTCCCTGTTAAATTTCTTATTTTATTTGTTTGGTATTCTCGGACACTCGGACATTATTTTCGTCCTCCCAACGGGCTCCACAATTACCCAAGAAATATCTTTTTACTTCTGCTTTTGGCCCATCCTGTTCCCTATTTAAATATTGAAACGAATGTTTGGTATGAATATTTCCTTTATTGGGGTTGCAAGAATTATTTATAACGCTTTGAATCAGCTATACTGGTCGTATATATACGCTCATCACTGACGTATATATACGTCTACCACACTATACGGTCATTTATTTTTTTATTTTTTGTCGGATTTCGTGTTTCCATTTTTGTAACGGGTTTACCTCGTTTGTTTTTTCGAAGAATATTTTTCCCGCCAGCGTATAACGAAATAATACGAATCGAAACAATTTCCTCGCGTTTCGCAATATTTACGGCGACGCGTGAAATTCCGTCGTCGGTCTAATTTATAAATTTCCAAGCAGAGCAGGTGTGACGGCTCGCGGGCGCCCCGGCGATGCATTTTGCGTTTCCATTTTCTTGCGTTTATTTCTATCTTGCGCCGCCGCCTCGCAAACTAGTTTCATTGTTGAGTCGAGCTTCCAGAACGAAAGTTGTACAAATTTTATGAAAAAAGTTCCCTGACAGAGGGAAGTTAGTCCAAGGAATACGTAAACACGAAGACTTCGGTTCGAAACGTATTACGTCCGCTGGAACGTCGTATCTCATCAGCAACGTGTTTCTACGATCCTGAACCTCCATCGCGGAAAATTAATTTAAACAAACGATATACAGGACACCAAATCTGTTCGAGACTTTGTCTAAAAATTCTATATATATATACGGTTCGTTAAAATAGAGTAATTTATAAAAGACGTATATATACGTCATCCAAAAGTAGACAGTTAAATACAATATTGCCCGTATATTAAATTTTTCTCGAATATATTACGATAGTTAAAGTCAAATTTACGGACAAGAAAATATATTTTTCAATGTTTATTTTGTTTTGACAAGATGACATTTTGTCAAATCCAATATGTCGTCGAGCACAAGTACTACTAACGATAGATTTTCTCGGATCGTGTATATATTTCGCAACAAAAACCACGTCTCTTTGAATCGAATATCTATAGAAACGGAGGGGGGAAAAAACTGAAAGGGAGAAAGGAAAGAAGCTTGGCATGTAAATAACCGCGGCGAGAGGACGGGGACGCGACAGAGGAAGTGGTTAAAAGTGGGGTAGGTGGAAGCTGTCTGCGATTTATGACACCCTTCCAGAACACTACACAGAAGTCCCCTGTAATCACTTCTTCTATACGGAAGAGGAGAACGTCTTGGAATAAGAGGGACAGATAAAAAGCGAGACGCGAGGACAGGGAGATGCAAAGATAAGCAATTGCCAGGGTTGCTGGCGAATGGAGGGGAATAATGCGCCATAGGGGAAACGATTAGAAAGGACAGAATTGCCCACGGCGTAAAGGGACCACGGGATAAAAGAAACATCCAACCAATGAAGTCGTTAATGACTACGTATTTTTATTTCATTTTTCTGCGTTCCAAAGGGATTTGATTTAAAAGAAATTTTGTCGGTTTATTCGATTCGTCGTAGTCCCCTCCAAAAATCGTCCGCCGGCGGATAAAGTGGACGGAAATAACGGGAAGCAAACATCAATTTCCGAGAAATAAGCCGTCGATTCCACGAAAGAAACCTCACGCCTCACGGGTCTTTATCTTTTAAGAGGATCGTGCGTTCTTAAAAACAAGCCAATTTAGAGGAGTAGATTAGAACGAAATGGGAAGAAACGAACGAATACCAGCGACGATACTTATTAACGCTAATTACTCGTAATCGACTTTTCGCGCGCTCTGTCTTAAGCGACGCGGAAGATCCTCGCTGAAACCACTGAAACGTGAAACTTAGAGTCAACCATAATCCACGCGACTACGATTATGACAATCAAACTTTAGATAAGCGGAACGGTCGCGTGCGTCGGATCCGCTCGAACGTTAGCGTCGAAACTTGAAGCGAAAATAGTTGGTGCAGAAGTTATTGGCCAAGCAAAGTCGTTTCCGTGTCCAGCATCGTAACTATATTCCTTGGCC